GCATACTGACTTGGTGTGTGCTAAACTCTCACTGTATGCGTATACTAGTATTTGTCAAGTCTGTATGCCTGCATACCGACCTGGCGTATGCTAAACTCTCACTTTCTGTGTATATTAGTATTTGTCAGGTCTGTATGCTTGCATATAGACTCAAATTATTATTTATTTTGGCATTTTTCTGCCAGGTACTTGTATGCCTGCATGGATTCTAAAATTTTATTCTGGATTCATGTTTGTATTGGCAAGTCTGTCTGCCTGAATGCTAAGCATTTACTGTGTAGTAACATTTCTTATTTACTTATGTTTGCATAACCAACCCCCCATAGAAAATAAGGAGATGTGTATGATTTTGAAAGAGACATACAAATGTATCTCCATCAAACATGTCAAAGGCCAAATTACATCGATGTAAGGAATTACTTATGTATAGCCTTCAACTTCGTTTGAATTTGAAAGAAAGCTCTCAATTCTTAACTGCAACACTCAGGGGTTTATTCCTGTATATCAACCCGCTTTTCAATAAATTCTTGTAAAAAAATGGAATTCATAGGTTTGATTGTCGGCATACCGACCTATAGTCCTATACACATTGGAACATAAAAGTTTGCATATTTGTTTGACATTTTCAGTTCACGGTATTCTTGCATACAACACTGGTGTACGATGAACACTTATTTTTTTTTTACTTGGATATATACAAGATTTGATTGCCTGTATACCCACCTATGTTCTATTAAATTATAGTTTTACATACATTTTAGTATTGTCAAACCAAGCTGGTGTTCATTGAGCTAGTGTATTTGTGTAGGGTTTGCCTCCAGTCTAAAATTTCTGCATATTTTGTGGCACTTATTGGATATTTAGCAAGCTGAATGGTTTGCATTCTAACCAGCTGTATGTTGTACATGTATTCATATTTTAAATTGTAAAACTATTATTTTTCATCATGCTCTAAGTTAGTAACTTCAAGCATTGTGTCAAGAGGGGCGAAAGATACCAGAGGAACAGTCAAACTCATAAATCGAAAATAAACTGACAACACCATGGCAAGAAAAAGACAAACAGACAAATATTAATAGTACACAAGAAACAACATAGAAAACTAAAGTCTGAGCAACACGAACCCCACCAAAAACTGGGGGTGATCTCAGGTGCTCCGGAAGGGTAAGCAGATCCTGCTCCACATGTGGCACCCGTCGTGTTGCTCATGTTATTACAAACCCGGTAAATAGTCTAATTCGGTTAGTCACATTCATGAAAAGGGAAGGGGATTGTAGTTACGACGTAAGAGACATATCCGATAACATCTGTGAAACGGTTATTCCATAACGGTCAACCAACTCGTGATGGCGTCCGTATAATTTACGAAGGGATGATTTCAACTTCACCATTTGGAACTCTTGGTTAGAAATTGATGGAGAGAAAATGAAACTGTCTTAAAATCTGATATAGTTGGCAATATGCATACTAAATAGACAGTGATACAGCAAAGTGTTTAAGTCATTGTGTTTGCATCTCTGCCTGTCAACATGGTGTATGCCAAAGTTTTTTTTTTTTTTTTAATGCTTTTAGGGGGATGTCTGTATACAATTTGCTTTACAAAGATGTATGCCAAACATGCATACATGTATTTTAATTATCGGTAATGTAAACAATTTGCAATGATCTGTCTTCACTGCATATCATAAGTCGATATCTAACTGGATTAGCTATGAAAATTAGTGAATTTATAGCATTATACTATGGTAAAAATTGTTTATAATGGCATATTATACACTGGAGTTGTAAAAATAAATCCTTCAATCAGGAAAGCCAAAGAATTGATGCTTTTTCTACATGTTCTAGGTGTCGTCCTTTTCTAGTGAAGCCATTTTTACTTTATTAGCAGGAACAGCAAAAGGTCAGGTGTTGTTCACTGATGTCGTAGTTTTCTAGGAAGGCATTGGTTTAACCTATCCAGTCACTAAGAAGTGTTACAATTCAATTCATATGATAAGCAACACATAAATAGTTACATGAAAGGTATAGCCACTGTTTGAAAAATGCTGAAACGAGAAATGGAAACTACATATTATATACATATATATATGTGTGAATATTATACACTTCACAACTTTAACATTATCACAATTACTGATTTTAGAATTTATATGAACTAAGGGTTCTTAGTGGTTGAATTGAAGTCGTTCTCTTGAAAGTATTTTTGTCGCCATGCATCTGATTGAAGATCAATGAAATATGTCATTTCCTTATTAACATTCATTTTTCCAAATTGAACACTCTTGAAATGTGCTGTTCTGATCCTTTCGCAATAAATGTATGTTTAATTTGTTTGAATTACTTCTTTTTTTGTTTTTTATTGCTCATTAAATTTTAAAATTTTCTGTCTGTCTTTCGATTTTGTTGATAGCTTTTCATATTACCCTGTTACAGTAACAGCTTCTTACATACACACATCACAGAATGCTGCAGTGATCATGTGACAAATGTACTCTACGGTTTTCCAAAACAAGGACACATCATACAACCTCCTTGTAAAAATAAGGAGATGTGGGATGATTGCAAATGAGACAACTATCCACCAAAGTCCAAATGAAGTGGATGTAAGCAAGTATAGGCAACTGTACGGACTTCAACAATGAGAAAAACCAATAATGTATAGTCAGATGATAAAAGGACCCAACATGAAAAATAAGAAACAATAATTTATAGCAAAACAATTTACGAAAAAGAAATACGACATACATGAACCAATGACAACTTCAACTACAGGCTCCTGACTTGGGACAGGCACATAAAGACTAGTGTGGCCGGTTTTAACATGTGAGCGCTCACCCCCCCCCCCCTTTTTACCTTGGACTTTTGTTTCCCTAAAAGTTGTTAGAATAAGACCTGAATGGGTTAACTGAAGGGCATTGGCCATGCATTTGAAAATCTGGATAGGGGCTGAATTTCAATTTTTTTTAAAATCCGGGAGACTTTAACTCAGTGGCAGATCCAGAAGTTTCATAAGGGGAATGGGCTGGGGAGGGCACTGACTTCCTTAGAAATGGACCGCTCCAGTATTGTTTCCCTCAATAAATCAACTAAATTTTTCCCACAAAGCACCCCTTAAAATCCTTAAAATTGTAACTAATGCAAGGAGACATCACTATATGGATGTACACATAATCGTATTTCCCATTCATTTTTTCTCTAAATACTTTCAAGGGGGGGGGGGGGGGGGGGTGGTAGTCCAAATACTTATGACGTCTTGCAAGGCTATTTTTTTTTGGGGGGGGGGGGTAGCTTGATAGTAAAACAGCAGTAAATTTCGCCACATGATGTCTAGCATGAAATTGATTGAAGTGAACAAACCTCTTAAGAAAACAAACTTAGCGTAATCAATAATCTTGTATTATAGTTTTCAAGCCGGATTAAATCAGTCAGTCACTTCTAAAAAAAGAGGGTGTTCTATGAAATTCGTGGAAAATGTACAAAAACAGCTAGGTTTACTTACCGTAAATGTATCTGACATTCTGTTTTGCTTCTGGTATATTAAAATTTAGATAATAGAGCGTATTTTTCAATGAATTGTCCATTTTCTTCTCCGTGACGGGAACTCCTTCATTGATCATTCACATTGTTTACATTTGAAAATGACGTCATATAGGAGTGCATGACATAAGGTGTTATTAGGTCATTCAACGCAGATAAATAGTCCATTTGTTCTTTGACTTTTTATCATTTACCAATACAAAGTATAAAAAAAACATTTTGTTTTGTAATCAATTGCTATTATTTTAATTAAGTGTACTGGTAAAAAGTAACTCTCGTAAGTCAAGTGCTATCCGTCTATAATTCCCTCCGCCTTACGTCAGAAGGTCCCTGACGTCATTTAAAATGTTGTCAACAACTTGGAACCTTGTACAAATTATGATCGCCTCATTTTTCCGTAATTTTAATTTGCAAAAAACAGATGACTGTCATGTCAATAAGTGATCATAGTTGTGGAACTTGAGAATCGGTTTTCATTTTTAGATTTACAACAGTAAACGCTTTACCGGTTTGCCTTGCAAATTAACGCTTTTCTGTTTACCTATCGGGAGAAAATATAGAGGTCAGTGGTAGGCTTTTAGTTTAAAAAAAAAAAAATCGAAATCAGCGTTAAAACACAACTACTGAAGTAAAGGATTTTTTGGAAACACCCAGGTTCGTATGCTAGCATACAGACCTGCGAAATACAACATTTGATTCAATATTTGCCGTTCTGCATACACCAGGTTCGTATGCAGGCATACAGACCTGAGAAATACAATGTATAAATCAAATGTAGACTTTAGCATACACCAGGTTCGTATGCTGGCATACAGGCCTGAGAAATGCAAGTTAATTTATTACAATTCAGTTCAGCATACACCAGGTGTTCAATATGTCAGATTCACGATTTTCAAGTGCTTGATAAAAAGAAAAACGTGTTTTTCTATTATTTTTCTCGTTTTTGCACAAGTTTGTCTTATGAGCGATAATTCGACCTATTTGAGTACGAACTATGGCAAATGACCGTTAATGAGAATTTCTAATTTTAGATGAGAACGTGTTAAAACAAAAAAGTTATGTATTTCTGTCGAAAGGAAAAATACGTCCACAAATCCGAATTTTGAGGAAATATCTGAAATTTCAACCTCAATTTACTCAAAAAGTAGCACATGATGGTATATTTTTTATTACATATTTGATTTAATCAGGTAAAAAATAGCCTTTATGCAAATTTTCAACAAAATTTCAATATGAGATCAAAACTGTATCGTATGCCCTTAAGGTAGTATGCCAATGTCAGTTACTTTTTTGTGTAAATATGAAAAAAAAAAATGTAGATAGATGAGAAAAACAAATAATTTAAGATGCACAGAAGTTGTGTTTGTATGTTTAAAAATAGAGGATTCCCCTTATTGGGCCCGTTAAATGGAAGTCTTTTATGTATGAGTTAAATTATTTAACCTTAACTTCAAAGCCCCGGATGTAAACAAAATGGAGGACAAAATTTTTGTCAACTTAAATTTTGGAGTTGAAATCACAAAAATATTATAACATGGCACATTATCACAATAAAACTCCCTTTTATAATCCCAAAAATGACATTAGGGTAAATAACAATCCAGGGAAAACTTCAAATCCAAACAAAGAAAACGCATTTCACTGTGAGAAAATTGAAGCTGGAAATCGAGATCGGACACAAGTTCACAACAATGAATTTTCAGTCGTTAAATCGTCGTAAGTGTTAACAACAGAAATATATATTGGTTCAAATAAGTACATCCATTTTACTTTATTGAAATATGAGGAAGCTGCAACCTCATGACCTCCTGGTCGCTTAAAATGCTTAATTTTTTTATATTTATAGTCCAATACTGGCAATAATAATAATAATAAATTCTTTATTTAAAGAGGGTAAACTCAGTTAGTTACAATAAACTAATCTTCTCATAGGCCACTTCACGGTTATTGCAGACATATACACACACCTTATCACTTTTTGTCCGCCATCACTAGACATCACAAAGGTTCCCGTAAAATTTCACAATAGAAAATGTCTGACTCAACAAAGGAAAAGTGATTACTGACGCTGTATGACATGAATAGTTCAAGTGTGGCAGATTCTTGTGTCAAGTGTCGCAAATTCCCAAATAGTGATAAGGTCTATAGGAGGCAGATTTTTTGGATGGAGGTGGAAATAATTAGAAAGTATGAGAAAACCTATGCTTGTTTCCAGACAACTATTCTGTTTCAGTGATGTTTTCCCATGTTTTTCAAAGCTTTTTCACCTCCATTTATATTTTAATCTGCCCCTGTTCAATATGGCTGTAATAACTGTGAAAGGGTCTATTTCAAATTTCTGTTATAATGAATGAGTTGTGCTGGTTGACCAGACATCAGTTGGCTAATAAATGTCAATAAACAATCAGCTCTTACTGTGAAGTAATTTTTGGAATGTGCTAGTCCCAAGCTACCTGAGGTTTTTTTGGTGCATGTACTCTGTATTCTTAAAAACAAATGATGTAAGATGCACTGAGGTTGCATTTTTTTTTTTTTTTCATCATTCTTTTTAGTAATAAGCAGATGTACACATATGGATAATCGTATGCTCTTCAGATACAAATTTTCAAGAAATTGTATGCGTTTTATGATGTTTTATTCAGGAAAGAAAGGGGGAAACGAAAAAACTGATAAAAGGGTTTTATCAACCACCATTTTGTTGAAGGTCTTTAATAACGTGAGTGGTATGACCCAAACCAACCATTCTACCATTTGTATGCTCCCAATATGCAAGAATGAGAAAGTCGACTATCAGCATTGTCCTGATACACATCATACTTTTCAACAATCAGATATTCAAATTTCCAGATACATGTATTATTTTGTTCTTTTTTGATGTAATCAGATACAAATTTGCAGGAAATCTTATACTCAGAGCTCCTTTATGGTGTGTTATGAAAAATCATAAAAGAATAAAAACCACACAAGTTTTTTGATGCAATATGCAGTTTTCACGATAAACTTTTGAATCTACAGGCCCGAAGCTGAATTTTAGTTAGATTCTATTGGCCTGTAGAGATGATTTTTACAGACCTGGGCTGGTGGGCCTGTGGTTGAGCGTGAAGACTGAATATGCCTGTTGTTCAAGGTTAATCAGCATGATCAGGGCCATAGTATATGTACATGTATTATAAAGACCAAATTTGACTGTTCTACCCTTTATCTTACCTTCAGGAGCATTGAAATATAACTCAAAATGTTGTGCCTTTCGGATAATAAAATCACCTAGAATTCACTGAAAGTATAGTCCTAGAAAAGGATGACCTTTTTCTACTGACGATAATGATAAAAATGTAAGAAAATTTTTTGAAACCTTAATCATGTTAATGAGAATATGAATTTATGAAACAGTTGAATTACCTTGTTGGTGAAACATAAGGCATTTCTTGGAAAATTTCTATTTTAGGCCCCCAAAAAAGTAGTGCAGTCTCCAACCCCGTGCAGAGTTTTCAAAATCTTTTCATGCCTACTCTTCTAACACATTGTATGGACATTTTATTGAGTACATTGTGTATCTTTAACTTCTTATCTACCACAGGTACCTTTACAGTTCACTACTACACACTGCTGATTAGTTAGCTACTGCAGCTGAATTGTAGGTTAACTACCAGAGATAATTTGCATTGAGAGAATTTTTTACAAATTGTTAAGGCTGTGTTATGAGTACTCTAATTAAATGTTTAATTAATCAGTATTTATTGTATATTAATTGAAAAATGAAACATACCAAATCAATTTCTTTCTTTTCATTATCAAGCTTGAAAGCTGCCATAAACGGACGTCAAAACTTTTCAAATTATTTGTCCATGTTTCCGATTCTTTGGCTTCTTCATCCTTGGAAGACTTGCAATCTTGTTCTGACAAGCTTAATTATCCTTCCTATACTTCCAATTTTGCTTTCTAATTGCATAAATCCTTCAAATTCTTCACTTTCGCTATACGATTTGAACAAAGAAGCCCATTCATCCGCCATTGTTTTAATCGCATTCCGAACCCGTGTAAAATTCATCATAATTAAATGTAAACACACACTTTTTATAGAAAAGGAATGTACGAGTTGAAAGATTATTCATTTGTAAAACCGAATTTCATTGGTTCATTTCGGGATTCCCCAACAGTTTTGTCCAATCTAAAGGGTTTTAACAGTGGTATATTTTACGGAAATATCCGTCACTGGGACTGCGCAAGTGTATGTTTACAGCAGATCTATCAGTCACTGCGAATACATGCTTGATTATGCAAGCGGATTTATCAGTCACTGTGGACAGAACGATGATAAAAACCGCGTATATATCCGTCAGTGGTAGATAAAGAGTTAAAGTTTCCCTATCATATTTATACAGTCTATGCAAAAATGAAATAATTTTAACCACCTACCTTCCCTTTTTTTTATGCCAGGAGAAGATATGTTAGCAAAACTTAAGCGATTCTACAAGGATTTCTATCAATATAGACTGAAATATATACAAAACATTCCTAGAGTTAACTATGCTCTTGATCTTAATTGGTTAAGAGTTCCAGCTGTTTTGATTTGAGTGCGATCTTATGTGGAATAAACACACATCAATCTGGCATAATAAATTATTAGTTTGTCTCTTTGTTGACTTTTTTTCTGACCCATCCGGTGTTTGCTTGTATGTTTGCTTGTACTCAAATGCAGTTAGGGGTAAGGGGATAAGCAGCCAATCAAGTCTTGATTGACCTTGCAAGGAATTTTATCTATCAATTTCATCACTTGAGGCAAGCATGCTACTATCAAGGCACTAAAACAAGTTAGAAACAACTCTTAAAGTATCAAAGAAGCCAAAAAGATGTATATATTGATAATTCTTTGGAAGCTGTTATAAGCACCAATGTTTTCATTTTCTATTGTCTATTCAAGTAGTTAAGACTCAGGCTCATTGTATATAATGAACTGTTTTACTGTTTATTTTATTACAGAGGAAACAAATAAAGGCAGAATTTTTGCAGTTACTATCCACAATAATAAGTAAACATGTTGTAAATCTTGAAATATGTGTTACACTGGAAATATTATTTAATGTGTGAATGTACATGTATATATATTCTTGTGTTCCATGAATACTTGTCAGCAATCAGAATCTTTTTCATTAACATTTGTGAATTTATGGTTCATGTAGTATAGACTGAAAAGAACCCTATAAAATTCACAAAAAACAGCTGCATGTTACAATTTGTCAATCTGACAACAGGATTACAAGAAAGAAGTAATATAATGTATTATTTCATGAAAAAAAAATCACAATCCACATTTGTGCTTTTTATAGCAAAACATTTCAAAGGCTGACTGATGAGAGTCACTCAGTGTAGTAAAAATATGAAAAATCTGGATTGATGGGTTGAAAAAGTCATAAATCAAACAGAGTCAAAATATTAAATTATTGTGGAACATTGAAGCAGTGGAGAATAATTTTTTCAGTATTATTGAATGAACAGTAAATCTTAAATTCTTTTGTTAAGGCAGAATTGATTAAAAAGATATTTGAGTAAAACATGTATTTATGGGACAAGAGAAAATATATATGCATAAACCCTTTGGTGGAATCAGTATATATTGTATACCATCCTACACAGCACAACATGTCCTTGGATCACTTTTTATACATACAAGTACAGGTGTCATGGTATATAGAAAATATGCACATTTACACAGCCATACATTATTTTATTAGAGAGTGGATGATACACTGTATGTTTGCACATGTATGTAAAATTTCATTTGATATCCTTCCATGGTAACTGCATTTCTGTGGGGTTTTTTTTTCAAAAGCGAAAAAAAAAATAAAATTTTAAGGTATTTTCTTGGTATATAATGATTATTTTCTTATACATTTCACATGAATTTTGTTCATGTCTTTACTCTGTCTACCATCCATAGAAACAGACTCTGTCTACCATCCATAGAAACAGATATGCAGTTATTCGGAAAGTGTCTTCTGGTCATGGGTTATGTACGATGTTTAAATTGCATCACACAAAATACATACATGTATACACATTTAAATAAATTGGTTTACAGTATACATATATGTTGTTTAATTGAACATTGAATTTCCAAAATTTTAGTCAATAAGAATAAAATAAAGCATTATGCTATATGAAAACCACTGTGTATATGCAAGAATAAGATCCACATTGGATCACAGCTTCAAAAACAGTGTGTTAAGTGGCCAATGTCAATATACTGACCTATGACAGATATACATAGCTCCTAAAATAAATTTCATTGAAAGTAATACAATAATTTCATTTATAGTAATATGATAATTTCATTTTCAGTATGAATAAAAAGAGATGCAGGTTCTACATCAATGAGACAGCAAATCAATTAGTTTGATCTAAATTTTTCTATTAGTGTGGCAACCATTTCCATGAACTAGTATACACTATTGTTTAGGGGCCAGCTGAAGCCACCTCCATGTGCAGGATTTTCTTGCTGTGTTGAAGACCCATTGCTGTCTTTTTCTGTTTTCTGCTCTTCAATCGGGTTGTCTCTTTAACATATTCCCTGTTACTATTCTTAATTCTTTTATCTAATTAACCTTGCATCCTTTGCCTGCTCATAAAGAATGAAGACTTATCACAAAGTTCTATATTTGAATTTGAATATTTTTGTTACAAAGTTATTTTTTAGACACAAACATGACAAAGTCAATCATTTACAACTTTCACTTATCAGTGTTTTATTTTACAGTAATGTTAAAGACAATTGGACTCCATATGTACAGCCACAGGGAGATTTGTTTTATGTCAAAGAGTCGGACCATCCTGGGAGGTCAGACAGACAGTATTATTATTCTGATTCTGTAGATCATAAGGAAGAAAAAGATGAAACAACTTTTTTTGCAGACAGACTGAGGGAATCACCTTATGGAGATAAACATGAATCACGGTATAAGGAGAAGAATAAAAACAGTGGCTATGATAATGTTTCTCCAGACCTGAATAGTTATTATGAAAAGCTTGGACATAACAAATACAGTCATAATTTATATAGAAAAGAGGACCAAAATAGTTCACGTTCTAGTGGCTATTCTGATAGCTCTCCTCCGCACCAAGAACTCCATAATGGTGATATAAATCATAACTCAATAAGTAGAAATGTACACACAACACATGCAAATAATCATGGTTATGATAGTGACTTTTATGACAAACATAGTGATGTCAGTGTCGATAGATCGTCTGTTGACAGTACTCCAACAAAGCCTGCAAAGATAAAACATGTTTATATTACGCCTAATCCTTACAGTTGTAGAAACGGGGAGAGTTTCTCAGGGATTGCTTTATGTGAGAAACTTTTTGGTATAACATTGTACCATTATAACCATAGACAGTCTAAAAGCTCTCTAGAAATGACTTACAAAGATAGAAAATTACTTGTGCAGCATGTATTACTGTCTAGTCCTGCCGGCAGATCTCAACAAATACACAGAGGTAAGTTAATGAGGATTTACATTTTTGTCGATAGCATTTCGTGTACATGTACACTGTGTAAGAAATGATGCACATATATAGGTGTATTCAGATATCAACAAATGTAATTATTTCACGCATATATTAATATATATATGACACAGAAATGAATCAAATAAGAAATAACATATGTTACATATTTACCTTCTATGATGAAAAAAATTAAAAAGTGTTTGTTAATGTACCTAAAGTTGAAGTTGTGACCTATTTTATGGTCAGATTTTCCAACTAGTTGATTCACATTTTAATTTTACATGTTGCAAATTTTGAACTTGATTGATCTCTTCAGTGGTGGAAATGTCCAAAAGTTTAAGATACACAACTGATTTAGAGTTCTTAATTAATAAATCGTACAAATATCCTTGGGAAATGTGTATAAATTATCTGTGATTAGATTACTAGATTGAGTGTCTTAATTAAGCAATTATTTTTAATCTAGTTAATTATTCATTAGGTCTGAAAGTGTCATGAACATGTCAGAACAATTGATTAATTTTCACTGTTTAACCTGAATAATAGGACACATAAACTTTAAACTTTTTTGAAAGTGCTATAGAGATATAAATATTACTGTTAAACCTGGAATAAGCACAATAATATTTAATGGTAAACCACTTTTTGTATTGAATGTTTAACAAGTGTACATATTTGTTATGTAAATTGATGAATTATGGAACTTTACATTTCATGTGTTTATCATCTAATAAGTGTAAGTGCAAGCTGTGTATAGGTTGTACTTGTTTCTACATTGTATGTTTTAGATTGTTATACAGAGAGAATAATTTTGTATGTTTTAGATTGTTATACAGAGAGAATAATTTTGTATGTTTTAGATTGTTATACAGAGAGAATAATTTTGTATGTTTTAGATTGTTATACAGAGAGAATAATTTTGTATATTTTAGATTGTTATACAAGAGAATAATTTTGTATGTTTTAGATTGTTATACATACAGAGAGAATAATTTTGTATGTTTTAGATTGTTATACAGAGAGAATAATTTTATTGAACTAATAAAATATCAGAATGAAACTGTGTAGAATATTAGATGTTTCCAGTTTCAAATGTTTTATTCATACACAATATACATGTACCAGGTATATTCATTTGTGTATTTTCAGGAGACATGATGGTAGCTGTAAATGATGTTGGTGTAACTTGGGAAAACTTGGAAACAATTTGTAATAAGTTATCCAGTAAAGTTGTAAGTACAGAGTAGAAGAAAATTACAGTGCATTAAAAATACCATGACATTGAAAATATATGTTAGTTATAATAGATATTGAACTTTTTTTCATGTTTTTTTTTTTTACGTGGTATCCAATAACAGTCTATGCTTGTTATACTTTTTTCATAATGATATGTTCAAATTCCTTTTGGCTTTGGTTAATTGATAGATTTTCTTTTCATGTAACATGTCTCAAACTTCTGTCAGTCGGTTTCAGACAAGAAAAATATATGCACAATCTTCCAATTAGAACAATTCGCTACCAGATATAGGAGTTTTTACTGATAATTTTAAACATGGTGTACAACAACAAAAAACTAATTAAGTGGATCTAAAAATGTTATGCGAGCTGCACTATTTTCAGACAATGACATTTACATATTAAAAGCATGCTGTAAATTAAAAAAGTAATGCAAATTTATTTTTATTATGTTAAATACGTGTCAGGATGAATAACACAATAATCTATTTTTATACGCCCGTCAATTTTTGACGGGACATATTATGTTATTCAAATGTCCTGTGTCCGTCCGTCTGTCTGTCCGGCGTAAACATGTCGCACCATAACTTGAGAATGACTTATCAAAATTTCATGAAACTTAACATAGTTGTTTCTTATGATGGTCAAACGATCTGTATACTTTTTGGTGAAAATAAGATTAAAACTTTTTGAGTTACGGGATTTAGTAACTAAAACAGGTGTGTGTTTTTTTTCACATGTCGCGCCTTATTTCAAAAACAATTTATGATTATTGCTTAAAACTTTACACACTTCTTAATTATATTAATCTTAAGATCTGTATACTTTTTGGTGATGATTCAAAATTTTATTTTAGAGATATTGAGTATTTTGTTAAAAAAGGGGGAGGGGTTTTCACATGTCGCGCCGTATCTCAAAAACAGTTTATGATTATTGCTTAAAACTTTACACACTTCTTAGTTATATTAACCTTAAGATCTGTATACTTTTTGGTGATGATTCAAAATTTTATTTTAGAGATATTGAGTATTTTGTTAAAAAAGGGGGAGGGGTTTTCACATGTCGCGCCGTATCTCAAAAACAGTTTATGATTATTGCTTAAAACTTTACACACTTCTTAGTTATATTAACCTTAAGATCTGTATACTTTTTGGTGATGATTCAAAATTTTATTTTTGAGTTATTGAGTATTTTGTAAAAAAAGGGGGAGGGGTTTTTCACATGTCGCGCTGTATCTCAAAAACGATTTATGATTATTGCTTAAAGTTTTACACACTTCTTAGTTATATTAATCTTAATTTCTGTATACTTTTTGGTTTTGATTCAAAATTTTATTTTTGAGATATTATTTTTTTTTTTTTAAAAGGGGGGTTTTCACATGTCGCGCCGTATCTCAAAAACGATTTATGATTATTGCTTAAAATTTTACACACTTCTTAGTTAGTTATATTAATCTAAAGATCTGTATACTTTTTGGTTTTGATTCAAAATTTTATTTTAGAGATATTGAGTTTTTTGTAAAAAAAAAAAGGGGGTTTTCGCATGTCACGCCGTATGTCAGAAACTATTTATGCTTATTGCATAAAAATTCACACTCAAGACGACAGGCGTATCATGCGCTCATGGCGCAGCTGTTTATTGATGGTTACATTGTACTACAACATGCAAAGGAACCATATTTATTTATTTTACATTACATTACCTGTTTTAAGCTAGCTAGGTAATTCCAGCCAACTACACCAGATCAAGATTGTACCTTGATATTAAATTGTTGTTATTTAATTGCACTTTACATGATAAGAACTAGAACTACATGCATGTTAGTTTTAAAGAATCAGTTATCAAAATAAATAATCTTAAAATTTATCGCAGGTAAAATTGTCATTCCAAATGCCAAATGTTGTTGGACCAAAGCCAAGTCCTCCTCCTCCAGTGAATCCACAGTTTGCAATGACCTCACCGCGTCCAGTGACAACACCTTCACCTCGCCCACCTCGCCATCGTCAGCCTGGAGAGAATTTGTCACAGCTAGTGTTTGGTGACAGTAGACAGCATCATCTGGAGTACCTACAGGATACTTCCTGTTGTGTGATGTATTTAACATTAGAAGGAGATGGTAGCTCTGATACTGAGAGTGTTAGGGTAATTTGTCTTGGTTTAAGTCACTATTCAATCAAGTAATACATAAGATAATTTTATCAGTTTGATAAACATAAAAAATTCACATGTTATATTACAAAATTTGAAATGAATGCCAGAATGGTTGCTTTTTCTAGCAATAAAACATGTGCGTTGATATGAATATAAGTGCTCTAAAAAGAAATTGTTTTTATACTAAGTATATAACAATAAATAGTTATCTACATGAACATACTTTAGTTGTAAAAATTAAATAATAAATGCTGTCATCTTAAAGATAGTAATGATAGTCTAAGATATGTGTGAGAAAATTTAATTTAAATGTGATATTTTGTATTTGTAGGAGGATATAGTATACCAGTATCCACCAGGTGATAGTAAATTACTGGAGGTTAGAGGATTGTTTCTAACATTGTGTGGTGTACTACCAGAGGTAGCATCAACTTCTGCTAGAAGGTATATATATATATTAACTCAGATTATTCTCTAGCAATCTAAAAATGATTTCTTGGGGTAATAATAATGACAATATTAAACATATTTGTTTTGTACTTTACTTATACTCATACTATATACTTATACAGTAGACATCACCTAATCGGATATCGGCTAAACGAATATATCGGCTATTGTAATATTATTTCAAAACACCAAACCCTTCCCTATATGTTTAATGTTAATATTATCGTGTAATCGAATATCGGATATAAGAATATATCGGCAAATCGGATAAGAATATTCAGGTCATTTTGTTCAAAACCATGCACAATCGGATATTTTCAATGTTTTTCTGACAGGAAATGGACCCGGAAGTTACGAATTTACAATCTTGCAGACAAGAAGATTTTGTTTTTACTAAATAAAAGGAACTATTTCTTAATAAATTGTTGTCTTTAATCATTGTCTTCCTTTGTCATGTGAATAAGATGCCCTTTTACTTCAAATGGTTTGAATTTATTTATAAAATATGCAAGACTCAGTTGACAAGTTGACGTTGCTGTTTGAAGAATTTTGATTAAACTCTAAATGTTCACAGAATCAGAAATATAATCTAAACTGAATGTACCTCCTTCTGAATAATTTATTGCAATATAAATATAAATCCCTTTTGACAAGAGAAATCTGACTTTTGTCAGATATATTTTTTTCACATGTGCAAAAGTAACCACATGTCATGGACGCCATTTTGGATGTTTACAAATTTGAGAGGAAGCCTCTAGAACTATGACCTAAATATAAATAGTCTTCAGAAAACGTAAACTTTATGCAATAATATTTTATAAATCATGATTATTTTCATAAATTTAAATTTGATTATTTAAAGAAATAAAATTATAACAAATACGATTTTAGTTTGGAGATTCTACACAGACATGCTTAGATCTATTTATAGCCAAATTAGTTTACCTGTGTGATAATGTAATATGGATATTAATTTGCTAACAAAACAATTAAAGACAAACTATGGATGGTAGATAATAATTCACATAAATATTTCAGGACATTTGATTTATTTTAATAAATAAAGGATTTAAAAACTGCAAACACATTTAATCATTACATAATCAGCTGATAATTTTTTACACAAACATTGTGGTGATGTTACTGATAAAAATCACTCCATCAATCCTCCAGCCCTTTCACATAATTTGCAATTGTCAGGGTTAGTAACATCTCCGGATTATATCTACTCATTTTTGCAGAATATTTAATGAATATACATTCATCGTCTAATTGAATATATCGGGTAATCAGATATTTTTAGCTGACATTTTGGGTATCCGATTTGCCGGAGTCTACTGTACTTATACTAGCCAGAAAAAAACCTATAGGTGATAGACTGATTAGCAAGTCTTGACTTCTTCTCAATTGATTTTCCAATCCTCATCAGATACTTTATTAATTGTCCTTAAGCTTTTAATAAATGCTTCAGCCATGTCTGAAAATGTTGTTAACACAATTATTAAAAGGAGATAGTATGCATAAGGCCTATTTTGACCTATCATTCACACTAACATATAAGCAGGAGGTTCACCCAAACTCTGTTTACCACAAGACAAGTAAATGCAAGATGTTAAGGGTTATTCCATTAAAATGTATGTGGGAGGGTAGGAAGGGAAGTGTAATTATTGAATGTGGGTCATGGGTCTTTTTTCAGTATGCATCTATTAGCATTATGCAAAATTATCTAAAAAATGGTTCTTGGTTGTAGGGATATTTTGAAAGTCCCTTCCTACCCTCCCACATACATTTTAATGGAATAGCCCTAATAACAAGTCCATATTTGTAACATTCTGTTGGATCTTCACACACAATACCTGTTCATATTTTCTGTCCTTTTTATGTCTTTAGAGCAAAGTTCTGTGAATTGATTTTTTCAGACAAGTCCATGGACTTTTCCCATATTTTTTACAGTCTTTCAAGTGTAAAGTGTTTGGATAGAAAAATATGGCAGTGTTGTCAACAAAACTACCAAAATTGTGAACTCATGACAAATAGCAAAAAGACAAATTGAACGCACGATGATTAAACTACTTCTAAGTACCAGGCTGAGCGTTGTATAATAGCAACCACCTATTTGAAGAATTAAAATTCTCATTTTAAGTCCATATGAATTTGTTGTTACAGCTCAACTCTTGTTCACCAAAGACAGAAGATAAACATAGCTTACCAAAGAGATGGTAAAGATGTTCTTGTTATAGGACTACCTGCTGATAAGTATGTTATATAGCATTCATTTTGTTAAGATTTCTTATCCATTGTTTATTTTCTGCAGTTAAGTATGTCAGAACAACTCTTAACAATAAAAAAAGATGCTAGTTTTTTTATGTCATACATTCCTGAGGCCTGTGGTGAGAGAGTGACACACTCTTTGCATGTAATGTAACCCTTTCAAGGACAATTGTTTGGGCAGCTTGTTTAAATGAAATATTTATGCCTCTTTTCAGCAGATTTTTCTCCCCAGTCCTAGTCTATATTTTGCCACCTTCATCCCTGATAATTATGCATGAAAAAATTGCCATTGGACATTCAGCAAAACACAGTCAATCAGTTTCATATTTTGATGTCAGATGAAATTTCTTTGATGTATTTAACATAAGTTTGATATCTTATTGGCGCTTTTTTAATGATCACTTACTTTACAGGGTACCAAAGTCATGTGTTGAAGAGATCTTAAAGCAGCTTCATCACCTTATACTGGTATTATATGGTCCATTACACAGGTGAGCTTACTGGTTTTGTCAATAAATTAAGTATTCTATAGCTCTCTTTTGTAGCAATATTAACAAAAAGGGTTTTCCTCTTCACTGTCTATCATCCTCTGTCTTCAAATGCATTCTTGTTTACATGAAACGTTTTGTACGATCAATAAAAAATACTGGATTTGAAAGGATTTTGGATGAAAACAAAATGAAACAGAGGGTATTTTTTTTGGTTTTGTTGTTGTTTATTTGATCTTTAAAAAAACTTGCAATTATTGCTTGAATTGGATTTTTCAAAAAATTATTAAAATATGTAAATTTTTATTGTATTTCAGTGCTTTCCGAGATATGAAGCACAGAAGTCAGATAGACCAGTTGTTCTCATTGTCCCTGCATAATTTACATAACATTTCTCAGAGTGCCATGCTATCTAGTCAGTCCTCCAAAATATTTACAGAATTAATACCTGCTCCTAAAGCTATCAACTTTACTGATGACACAAAGGTGAGATAATTAACTAGTTTGTAGAATTACACACTTTTGTAACTTTTTTGTACATGTCTTAATATTAGGTATAAAGGGGACAAACCATTCACAAGCATCCATTGTTTATCAAATTTCCTCAGTACTTTTGCTTATGTATCTGCATGTTTATTTATAATGATAATTATTATATGATATTACTAGAAAAACATTATTTAAGCATAATATTTTTTTTGTGCTTTTGTTTGCTTCTAAGTGAATATAGCAAAAGTACTTCTTTTATACTTGTCACATTGTTTTCAAGTTCATTTGTAACAATTTTATCACCTGAAAGCAACAATTTATTTTTATGCCCCCGCCGTAGAGGAGGAGGCATTAAGTGTTACTGTTTTCCATCACACAATAAACTTATTACAACAAATTTTTTTTTTTGTTTCTGTTCTCTAACTTTAGTTTGCCTCAACCAAATATCATGAAACTTATGCACAATGCTTATTATCACAAAAAAACAGATCAAGTTCGAAATTGGGTGGCATCACTTATATCGTTTTTGAGTTATGCCCCTTTATAAATGGAAACTTTAGTTTGCCTCAAATAAAATTATAAACTTATACACAATGCTTATAATCACAAAACGGTCTTAACTACATGAATCCTGCATCTGTATGTGGAAGTTGACTCATGCATATTTACAAGAAGGGGGGGGGGGGGGGGGGGCATCTGTGGCCCATAGACACATTCTCCATTTATTTATTATGAAATTGTGACTTTACATGAATGTGTCAAAACAACAGCAGCATTCAGTATCTGAAATATTTTTAAAAACATTAAAATGCCCACTATAACCAAATAACCACTGTCTACCTTATATCATCTTTTACTTTCAAACTCATACAAAATATCAATCTTTACCAATTTTCTTGCAGCTAGTCAGTTCAAGTCGAAGGGGACTTTAGGTTTGCACTCTGTCCATCTGTCTGTCCGTCCGTCTGTCCATCCGTCAGTCCGGCAAATCAGCTTTCCACACTTTTTTTCTTCGTTCTTGAAGATATTGATTTGATATTTGGTATATAGTTTTATCATGACAAGTTAAAGATCAAGTTTGAATTTTGTTCCAGTCTGATGATTTAGTCCAGAGTTATGGACCATATCTAATGTTAGAGTACTATGTTAAACCATATTTCTGTACAAAGGGAGATAACTCATTTTTTAAAAGACATTCTTTGTTAAATTATTTGAAGAATTTTTTGGCAGGTTTGTTTGTTATTTAGTATAAACTAATTTTCTGAATGCTGTATATATATAAAAAAAATTATGAAGAGAAATCCTTTAATTAGATAATAATCTATTTTTATTAATGTATATATTTCAATACATTACATTGTGTAGATAAAAGTTGTTGACATTTTATAGATAAGTTACAAATCTATATTAGTTTGTGACAAATGAAAGAAAAAATATTTGGAACTATTAATTATATTTGATTATAATTTGAAAATAGATATACACTGTATTACATCATATCTAATTTTAGAGAACTATTAATTATATCTGATGTTTTTTTCATCATAGATATAAGAAGATGTGGTATGAGTGCCAATGAGACAACTCTCCATCCAAGTCAAAATTTATAAAAGTAAACTGCTTATAAGATATTGATTGATAATTGGTATATATATAGTTTTATCATGACAAGTTACAGATCAAGTTCAAATTTTTGTTTCGGTCTAATAATTTTGTGCAGAGTTTTGGTCCTTGGACTTGAAAAATTCAGGCATATAATCAGTTTTCCACACTGTTTTTAGTCATGCTTGAAGATATTGACATGATATTTACTTTTTGTTTACACCATGACAAGTTATAGAACAAGTTAGCATTTTGTTCCAGTATAATGAATTTTTATCCGGTAGGGGACTATGTATTGCCATGCAATACTCTCAGAATGCTTGTTAACCATATGAAGTACTTACATCAATGCTGCAAGCTTCAAGAGACTCTACCCAGGATTAATATGAATTTTATTTGAGCTCTATAGGTTTCAACACCTTATATATGTTAACACAAGTCGATGAAATTGAAATAGACCAATTGCAAGAATATAAGTTAATAAGTTTGAAATGATTTTGGTTGTTTTTAAATTTTAATGTCTTATTACAGTTACTATGTGATGAAATCCTCAGTGAGTTTGAAGCTTCTGACTTTGATGATTTTGTAAGTATTAAGTAACATTTGAAATAGTATTTTCACAATTACGGTAAAAAAATTAACTGGAAAGAAGGTATATTTAAAAATCTGGTACTCACTGATGTAAAACATGTTAACATCATGTCACATTGTATTAAGTGCATGAAAAAATAGGCAAGTTGGCAACTTATCAGTAGCAGCAAGTTTGCTTACATTCTATTTCATTAGTTTTAATAATAAAATCTATAAGAACACAAATTGTTTAAAACTTCGTATACATAAATTTTTGCTTGCCAAGTGGGATAGTGTTTATTTTGATAACTAAAATAGAAAATACAGTTATGCGCTTGTGAAAAATTGTACAAACAACATTCTGGTTTGTGGGCAAAATATACACATCTAATTTTCTTTTTAAGCTAACTTGGCCATTAAGGCTTGCAGAGATAATACCATCCCTTGACATCTATTTCCTATTTTTATGCCCTGCCCTATAGTAGAGGGGCATTATGTTTTTTGGTCTTTGCATCCGTTTGTTCGTTCGTTTTTTTCGTCCGTCTGTCCCTTCGTCCGTCTGTCCGTTCGTCCGTCTGTCCGTTCATCCGTCTGTCCCACTTCAGGTTAAAGTTTTTGGTCAAGAAAGTTTTTGATGAAGTTGAAGTCCAATCACACATAGTACTTAGTACACATGTTCCCTATGATATGATCTTTCTAATTTTAATGCCAAATTAGAGTTTTGACCCCAATTTCACGGTTCACTGAACATAGAAAATGATAGTGCGAGTGGGGCATCCGTGTACTATGGACACATTCTTGTTCTATTCTGAAATAGCAGGACCAAATTAAGGAACAAATATTGATAGGAATTATGTATGAACAACCCTGAATAATTTGTTTTTGTCTTATACCCCTCCAAAGCACACAGTTGGGGGAGGAGGTTATAGCGGATCGTCCAATAGTCTGTGCAATGAAATTTTTGTGGCATTTTTTAAGGAACTGCTAATAAGATCTTCCTCAGATTTGGTACCAAACTTCATGTGTGGATGCAATACTGTTTGATGGGTATTTATATCCTTCTCTCATCAACTTCCGGTTTACTGAACTCTTGTTTTATTTACAGCTTGATCCAATATCAAAAGATGCTAGAAGAGAATACTCCATCCTTGGTTCTTGTACATTTTATAAGGTAAATAGATATTTCAAAGAGAAGACTGTTCTGAAATAATAAATTATTGTTCTCATTAAATAAAAGTTGTTTATAAAAATAAATTGGTGCCTGTTAAGGTCAGTCTTCAGTTTTATTTACACATATATGTTATTTTGTCTCCGTCATTTCAGGAATATTTACTATGTAACCACCTGTGCCAGTCAGACTTACAAGACGTCCACCTGTTTTTGAAACACCATTGCATAATACAGATGCTGGCCAGGAAACCAGTAGAAGAACTGGTAGTATGGAGAGAGATGTTTCCATCACAGTATTGTCAGAAAGTTCAGTCATGTCCCCAGGGTTATCAAGATCCTCATGATGCCAGGTGGTTTTTACTAGTTATTGGCATGGTAGGTAACTGCTTTCAAGCACAAGTATCTTAGACATTACATTTTAGAATTTAATTAAATATTGGTGACATTTTTAAAAAGTCATTCTGATTGGTTCATCAAAACAAAGGCTATCTAGACTGTAATGTGACATTGCTTTGATTTTGATTTAGATTTTGATTTGAGATAGTGGAATTAACCATAACCCTTAAGCTTGGAAATAATTACCAAAAGTCTTGATTTATATTTTTAAACAAGGACAAACTGCTGGAAGAAAGCATTTTGAGTTCATTATAATTTGTTTATTAAAACATCATAAAAATTCCAACATTTTACTGTGACAATCACATCAAATAAACAATTGATCATCACATCAGGGCTTCAGAAAAATATTTGTGCCATCCGGACATTTTTTTGTCTTATCCTGATTTTAATCCATTAAGACTGAGTAACAAAAGGCAACCATGGTAATCAGTTGGGCATCATATAAACAATGATTGACATAAAAACAATATTAAACTGGACTTTTGATACAAATTTTATGTACTGACGTAAACTGTTAAATTGACAGTGCATCATTCGAAGTGTGCAACATTGGCGTACTAATATCTGCCTTAGAATCTTTATTTGTGCAAAATTACTTTGTCAAAATCTTTACTTTCGTTTTTTTAGAAGGTACATTTTCTTATGCCAGATGTTGACTTGACAATAAGTAAAATTAGTGTACGTTTACAAAGCACGATTAAGTTTAAGTAGCTCTTTCCACGTTATTTCTTCAAGAAAATACTTGAAATGAACGATAGATAAAGGTGTCAATGATAATTTTAGCATTTTTGAAGAATTCATATGCATAATTAAATCTCATCTGCTCACATGCACATGCATGTACTAGTTTCAATCAACATGGTTCTGACGATATTTCGCATAAAACCTTTATAACTACCTTTTTAGATTTTTCATCAAATCATATTTATATACTTTTTTTTTGTAATCTAAATCTTTTTGACTAAATTAATTAAATGCAAACTGCTGAAATTTATGAAAAATAACTTTAAATAGACCGATCAATGTCCAGAACATATAAGTTAACCTGTCACCTGAACAGGTAAATTTCAACTGTTTGACAACTAATGAGCCTTGATTGTAATGAGAGGGTAGTAAAGTAGTGTTTGTTTTGATAGTATTCACCATGTCACTTTTATGACCAGAAATGTGGCTGTTTAAGGCAAAAGGTCAGGTCAAAAAGATCGCAAAAACTTAATTTTTATGCACCACCTAGGGGCATTATGTTTTCGGTCTGTGCATCTGTTTGTTCTTCCATCCGTTCCTCTGTCTGTCCCTCTTCAGGTTAAAGTTTTTGGTCAATGAAGTTTTTGATGAATTTGAAGTCCAATCAACTTGAAACGTAGTACACATGTTCCCTATGATATGATCTTTCTAATTTTAATGCCAAATTAGAGTTTTGACCCCAATTTCACGGTCCACTGAACATAGAAAATGATAGTGCGAGTGGGGCATCTGTACTATAGACACATTCTTGTATTTCCTGAATTTTGATAAAATGGCAAACCCACGTTACATGTCCATTTCAGTTTAGGCACAACAAGTCATAAATATGATTGTCCGGACAAGTCCGGACAATACAATCACATGCATTACTTTGACTTGACCTAAGTGGTCCTATTGCAAATATCAAAAAATGGAATATAGTACAGCTAATATATATATAGATTCTACCAATGCATCAAGTGTGAAATGATATTTCTCCTCGGTTGACGTTAAATATTCACATTTGAAAATATGAGGCTAGCTGAGTGTTGTAAATATTTAAAATTCAACTATTGAGAGTTCAGGAATATTGAACAAGATATGGTGGTTAAATCTGTTTCTCTAGGGATTTTTTCGTGATTCAGTATTCCAATGAGCACACATGCTATTATATTTTTCCAGAAGTTAAAAATCTCATCTGTCATTGCCTATAACATTTTATAAAATTCTATTTACAGAAACAGTTTCTTTTATGTACATTGCTGGAGGCAGGAGGTTGTTCTAGATCACAGAAAGGAAATCCTGGACCACACCCATTTATTGTCAGTCAGGCTAAAGCTACATTATTGCAGTTTGAAGCAGATGAAGTTACAATGACACAAAGTATTGAACACAGGTAATACATTTGTTCTGCATTTTTCAATACAACAATCATAAACAAAGAATGAATATGAATAACCTCAAATACTAAGAGGAGGCTATTGATTGATAGTTTAAGGTACTGAGTCATAGATTCATAAAATCATGTATTGTAAAGGAACAAGCACTTTTTAGAGCAAAATAAATGAACTTCAGATTTCACCTAATGATCAAATTCAGAGTTTTACTAATGTATTTAAGTTGGAAATATGTTTTGGTTGTCCTTATTTTCATTCACTTAATAATTTATAGAAATATTATTAAAGAGGCAAACTGATTATTTTAAACACACTCTGAGGGAGGATGTATATAGGTATACCTCTGTTCATCTATGAGTCTAATTCTCCGTCCCTCCCATGACAATTTGGTCACATTTTTCTCAGGAACTACAAATCAGAACTTCCTGAACCATCATACCATCAAACATTACACCACTCTTGTATTATCCATCATTGTTTTTCATTGAGATTCTATTTTTAAGAATAACAATTATATTTTACAGATTATCAAAGATCTCTAAAGGCCCGTGTTTGTCTTGTGCAGATTCTGTCATTACTGGACATAAACAGAAGAAAGATGAAAATATTATTATTACACCGCAGAAATCCAGATTGTCTTCCAAGAATTGTAAGCATATTTATAAAATTGTTTGCAATGATATTATGATTCACCTGTCAAATAAAAACTGAAAATTTCACATGCGAAATAAATCCTGTATAATCACTCATCTGAAGTTATACAACAATAGGTTTTTTTAAGATGTTATCATCTAGTAAGTTGCATCAAAACAGAGTGAAAATGTGTAGAAAAAGATACAGTTCCTTGCATTTTCTATTTGATATACATAAACATCAATATATTAAACAAAAATTAAATATTGAGAAATATTCCTTTCGTAACTTGACAACACTGATAATTTATTCATGCATAGATGTATGGCATTCATGATGTTTTGTTTGGTTAGAAATGTTTTTAATGAATGAGCAGTGTCATAATTTTTTTTTCATTTAAAATGCTTCATGGGTCTTATTTTTATGTGTTTAAAAAAACTACATTTGATTGTTTACATAACCTATAGCTATACATTAAGTATGTATTTTACAGCTCATGATGACTATGACATCGTAGGTAAAGGTGGTGGTAGTGAACACTCTACTCCTGTGATGAAGCGTCAAGGCAGCAAGTTATCTTATGGTTCTAATGATTCAGGGGAAAGTAGTGGTAGTGTTGGCATAAGTAATAAGGTATTTATTTTTATATTAAGGATGTACTTAGGTGAAATTAAAAAAAATCTAGAATTTAAAATTGATACTATAAGTCAGAAAAGCATTAGTTAAGGAACAAAATAAGCTAAAAATATTGATAGGTCAAGGAGCTCCTTTTCGAGATATTCAAATTTTTTTAAATGGCGGGAAAAGGTCGACTCAGACTTTTACCTTATATTTGCTTTGGTATTATTTGGGTCTTAAATTGAAAGAAAAGAAATCTAGAATCTGCTTAAATTTTGTTAAATGACCTTTAATCAGCTAATGAAGTCTTATATGAAAAGAAAAATGGGTGTTATGGGGCAAAATATTTTACCCTGTATCAAAGGGAAAAAAACCAAGGAGTCCAAACATCTGACAAATACATCCTTTAAAGTAAGATATGAATAAGTAATTGACATCTCTGTCTGATTAAAGTAGTATTGCAAGGTTTAATTCTAATTGTATGAAATAATCTATTAAAACTTAATGCATAACAGGGTAAAATAAAAACTGCTTTCCGACCCTCATACATTTTATTCTGGAACAGCCCAAATAACATTGACAGCAATTTTTTATTGAAATCAAATTAAAATAACATTTTTTCTGGTTTCAGGCAAAAATAAGTAAAGCTGGATCAGTATTTGATATCACCAGTATCCCACATGTTGTATTATCTCAAGGAGATGAGATCTCACATATAAGGTGAGTACCTTAAAATCATTATTACCACACGCTCGGTGAGTATATTGATCACCAGTAGCCAATGTGTATTTCTTAAAAATTTCAGAAATTAACCAAAAATTGAGGATCAGTTAAATTGCAATATACTGAGAACATTGGCTTTTGTACTAATGAGAAAAATGTACATAGGCAAGACAAAATCTTGTAATAATTAGAACATTTACAAAGGCAAGACAAAATCTTGTAATAATGAGAATATTTACAAAGGCAAGTCAAAATCTTGTAATAATGAGAACATTTGTAAAGAAAAGACAAAATGTTTTACCAATGAGGACATTTACAAATGCAAGACAAAATCTTGAAACAATGAGAACATTTACAAAGGCAAGACAAAATATTTTAACAATGAGAACAACTACATAGGCAAGACAAAATCTTGTAACAATGAGAACAATTACAAAGGCAAGACAAAATCTTGAAACAATGAGAACAATTACAAAGGCAACATACAATCTTGTAATGATGAGAACATTTACAAAGGCAAGTCAAAATCTTGTAATAATGAGAACATTTACAAAGGCAAGACAAAATCTTGTAATAATGAGAACAATTACAAAGGCAAGATAAAATGTTGTAATGATGAGAACATTTACAAAGGCAAGACAAAATCATTTAACAATGAGAACAATTACAAAGACAAGACAAAATCTTGTAACAGTGAGAACATTTACAAAGGCAAGACAAAAACTTGTAATAATGAGAACATTTACAAAGGCAAGATAAAATCTTGTAATGATGAGAACATTTACAAAGGCAAGTCAAAATCTTGTAATAATGAGAACATTTACAAAGGCAAGACAAAATCTTGTAATAATGAGAACAATTACAAAGGCAAGATAAAATGTTGTAATGATGAGAACATTTACAAAGGCAAGACAAAATCATTTAACAATGAGAACAATTACAAAAGCAAGAAAAAATCTTGTAACAGTGAGAACAATTACAAAAGCTAGACAAAATCTTGTAACAATGAGTACATTTACGAAGGCAATACAAAATTTTGTAACAATGAAAAAATTTACAAAGGCAAGTCAAAATCTTGTAATAATGAGAACATTTGTAAAGAAAAGACAAAATGTTTTACCAATGAGGACATTTACAAATGCAAGACAAAATCTTGTAACAATGAGAACATTTACAAAGGCAAGACAAAATATTTTAACAATGAGAACAACTACATAGGCAAGACAAAATCTTGTAACAATGAGAACAATTACAAAGGCAAGACAAAATCTTGAAACAATGAGAACAATTACAAAGGCAAGATAAAATCTTGTAATGATGAGAACATTTACAAAGGCAAGTCAAAATCTTGTAATAATGAGAACATTTACAAAGGCAAGACAAAATCTTGTAATAATGAGAACAATTACAAAGGCAAGATAAAATGTTGTAATGATGAGAACATTTACAAAGGCAAGACAAAATCATTTAACAATGAGAACAATTACAAAAGCAAGAAAAAATCTTGTAACAGTGAGAACAATTACAAAAGCTAGACAAAATCTTGTAACAATGAGTACATTTACGAAGGCAATACAAAATTTTGTAACAATGAAAAAATTTACAAAGGCAAGACAAACTCTTGTAATGATGAGAACATTTACAAAGTCAAGACAAAATCTTTTAATGTAGAGAAGATTTACAAAGGCAAGACAAACTCTTGTAACAATGAGAACATTTACAAAGGCAAGACAAAATATTTTAACAATGAGAACAACTACATAGGCAAGACAAAATCTTGTAACAATGAGAACAATTACAAAGGCAAGACAAAATCTTGAAACAATGAGAACAATTACAAAGGCAAGATAAAATCTTGTAATGATGAGAACATTTACAAAGGCAAGTCAAAATCTTGTAATAATGAGAACATTTACAAAGGCAAGACAAAATCTTGTAATAATGAGAACAATTACAAAGGCAAGATAAAATGTTGTAATGATGAGAACATTTACAAAGGCAAGACAAAATCATTTAACAATGAGAACAATTACAAAGACAAGACAAAATCTTGTAACAGTGAGAACATTTACAAAGGCAAGACAAAAACTTGTAATAATGAGAACATTTACAAAGGCAAGATAAAATCTTGTAATGATGAGAACATTTACAAAGGCAAGTCAAAATCTTGTAATAATGAGAACATTTACAAAGGCAAGACAAAATCTTGTAATAATGAGAACAATTACAAAGGCAAGATAAAATGTTGTAATGATGAGAACATTTACAAAGGCAAGACAAAATCATTTAACAATGAGAACAATTACAAAAGCAAGAAAAAATCTTGTAACAGTGAGAACAATTACAAAAGCTAGACAAAATCTTGTAACAATGAGTACATTTACGAAGGCAATACAAAATTTTGTAACAATGAAAAAATTTACAAAGGCAAGACAAACTCTTGTAATGATGAGAACATTTACAAAGTCAAGACAAAATCTTTTAATGTAGAGAAGATTTACAAAGGCAAGACAAAATCTTGTAATGGGAAATTTAAAATAAGCAAACATTTTCACTTGAATGATAATTGTCTATGACAAATTATCCAGTCTTAATTGCAATGAAATCTTTAATATAATTCTTAATAAATTAAATATTGTGATTTAAAAAAAAAGATATAATTTTATATACAAACACAAAACAGTGGATATTTACATATGTATGGAATGTTATTTATTTTTTATCAAATAAATGGTTTTACCTTTTTTGCAGATTAACACGAGGAGTTGATAACTGTCTGTTTCACTTCATTAGTATAAATGAGTTTGAAGGAACATACATATCTCCTACACAGCAGGAAATGTCTGTAGTTAATGGGGCATTGCAGGAAGTCATCCTCAACCACTTTTATACAGCTTGTCTACATATACGCAACTTATTCCAACAGTCTGTAAAAAGCAAGGTAAACATATACAATATTTATAAATATATTATAAATCAAATTTCTTGTGTTTTTTTTTTTTTCTCTTTTAAGTTTAAGGGAAGTTGGCTTTAAATTTATGTAATACATCAAACTTTTACTCCAAAATAAGTTACTCAGTTATTTATGCAATTATATTTTTCCAAAGCTCAGTTCAAAAGAAATTTAAGTAAAAAAATATGTCAAATGAAAGTACCCCTGTAATGTATAAAACCAAGGGAGAGTAAAAATTAGGATACTTGCATTGTTCTTCACTTGTCAGATGTTTATGGTATGGTGAATATTCCTGCAAATGATTTCTCATGTCACTTGTGTTCCAAAAGGATATATTTGGTGATAAGCAAAACTTACCTTGAGAGGTACTCTGACTAGCAAAACCACAAAATGTAGATGCATTTACTGTATCTGTTGAGAGTAAAGCATAAGTTTAATGGTAAACCTATCCTTCTTAAAAATGCTTTCTTTTTCTTTACATTCATTTTAGACAAAACAAGTAGACCAGCCAAAGAAATATGGAGAAGATATGTCTTTTACTAATGTAAAAGAACAAGGTGTTATGTTTACCTGTGTGATACCTCAGCATTTAGAGAACAGTAAAAAACAACCTCCACCATTGTCTCTGACCTATTGGGCTGTAGGGTAGGTATTTAAAATAGATAGATAATCAGTGTTTGTTTTTGCTTGTAGATATCATAATATAACTGACTGAGTTATAAAATAAAATTCTTTGGTTAAAAGCTTGGTGAACAAGCCAAAAATTTGTATGATGTGTGCTTGATAATGTAAAGGTAAAATGATAATCTTTTTGTTGTATTGATCGATTTATCAACTTCCAAATTCCAGATTATGATTTTTTGTCATGTCTGAGTTGAACATTTGGGATGGCAGATCTGTTTCTATATATATGCAAATGAAATATCGTTGATATTTGATATACACTACCATATGCATCTATGAATCTCAGTTTAAGGCATTATATGAGGCCCTTTTCAGTCATGCTCTAATGACTTTTAAATTTACCAGGTTCAGATATTACTACATATTTAAAAGTACATGAAATTTCCACTTGTACAGAATAAAGACCAATTTCCCTGAATTATAACTAGTTGGTAAGAGTATCTTATTATTGAAATCTTTAAACAAGACTTATTAAAATGCTATAATTCAGAAATAGATCTCAAAATAGATTACAAAAAGCTTTATTAATTTTGTAGAAGAAAATTTCCAGATGAAAAAGAGATGTATGTTTGTTTCCATGAATCAGTACCTCAGACAGCAATAGAGATGGCATTTAAACTTGACAGTGGATTATCTTTGACATGAGACTAACAGTGGATTTGTTTAAATCTAATACATGTAATAACAGGATTATCTGTTAGCTTTAAGGAAACGAAAACAGCCAATGTTCAAACATTTAATAGAATATGGAAAACTGTAGAAATTCATTTCTATTATGTAATAGATGTTTTCAGGGAAAGATATAGTCTCAGTGAACTTCTTTTGTGATAGCTTTTATTATGATGCAGAGACTGATGCTGTTTCATCCAGCATAACCGTATTAATGCTTCATTAATAGCATCAACAATTTGTTGTTAATTGTTTGTTAACAAAGTGTAATGATAAAGGGTTGTTGAGATTATTTTCAGGGTTGAATGTTAAGAATTTTTCCAAAGGCCATATCATAATTCATTAGCAATAGTTAAATTAATTTTCACAGCTTTTTATACATTCTAGTCATGCATCACAGAATCAAAACGCAAATCCATTTGTCTTCATTGCATGTGTCTGGGTCTTTAAAACTTTGACTATTCAGAGCTGGCATATATGCCAGTTATGAATCTGATGAAAGATTATATATTAAAATTGTTCATTAAAAAATGTAATAAAATCTTATATATTATAACTACAAGTTATTTGGTTTATAACATTCCTAAAGAATCTGTACCATTTTGATCTGATCACATGATTATTAAAAAGACTTCAGTAAGCTTATACTGGCAAATTTTGGAAACAATATGACATAATTGACCAATCAAAAGTCTTAATACAATTGCAACTAGCATAATTGTCAAACTACACATCTAAACAATTTGTGATTATTCTGTTGCTCCAAATGAGAAAAGACCAAAAAATATTATACTTTTAAAAGACCTTCTAATTTTAATTTTGACTTGTATAAGAACATCGCAGCATACTGATTTTTTTTCTTTAAAAAGTATCAGTGAATGTCAGCATGATAGTAGTGTTTTTAAAATATCAACTTGGTTCAGTTATATAGCATCTGAACTGCAATATGTGTGTAAAGATGATGTAATCATTTTCATTGATCTTGCCATCAGAATTACAGTATTAATGTTCAAATTATCATCGTAGTCACAGATCACCATCATAACAATTATAAATATGTAATTATAAATTTTGAATTTAGTTTTATTTCATTATCATTAAATATTCATAGAAAATTGTTAGTAAGATATTGTAAATGAAACATGAGGTTTTTTGTTGTTCAAATTTTTGAAGTAAAATCCAAATGTATGTCCTTTTTAAAAAAGAAAACAAAATGTTGATACTCTTGCTGTTGTACAAAATAACTTAAAACAGTCTAAATTTAGAAAGTTGTAGACAGAAATCAAAATGTGCATTTTTAGATATTTTTCATGTTTGGCTAAAAAATAGTTTTTCAAACTTTTTGTAAACATTGTCAGAGGCAAATAAATCTGTTCTGATAGTATTGAAAATATACTACTACCTTGACTCCCCATGAGGGTCTCTAAAGGTCAGAGATTGAAAAGATGTTATATGTTAAACTTGGAGACAATACTAATATTGTTCAACTATCTATGATCTTATGTACATCTTTTATACCCAAAATGCTGAATGAGTGAACAGTTTTTCCATTTTTCCTTTTATATCATGTGGATGGCATGAATAGTGTTTGATGTTTCTAAAGTCCTATCTTTGACCAAAGTGTCTATTTTTGAAAAATACTTACACATTTTAGTGAGATTATTGTGTATTACAAAAAGAAGTTATTGTATTGTTGTGTGATCATTCCATTTATTTTGATATTAACTTTGTAAATATTTATTTATTTATTTTATGCTTATCTGTGATATTTTATGTTGACAGTTTTATACATTAATATATTCCATGTTTTGTGTTTTTCAAATAATGTACATGAGAAATATAAACATATGTTGTAAAGTCCCATCAGTGATTAGTTAAATCTTTGTTGATTGGAAGGTTATTATTTAATTTCATTTGGCACATAAATTTCTTGCTTTTGAAATTTTAAAGTAATTAAGACATTGCTGTTATTCCAGAAAGAGCCTTAATTAGAATAATTTTTGATGTGTAAAAAAAACTAAAAAAAACAAACAATTCTTTGGAGCAAATTTATGACACTGCTGTACTAGGTCATTTCTTGTTGAATGCATTGTAAAAGTTATGTTTCGTTTTGGCATAATTGCACACATGATTATCAATCTCTGTATACATTTGCATTTCATAGATTAAAAACTTGATGTCCATTTTCAAATCAGGTCTATAATATAAGCATGGATTATACACCAATTCAAACTTTATTATACTCTCACTCATAGAGTGGATGGTACACTGCAATACACTTGTCTGCCAATTGATCCATCCATTCATCCGTCCTTAATATACATTACATATTACTCAGCTTGTGTATGAAGGAATGATTATATATTTGGCCTGGAACTTTATAATGATGATCATTAGAGTGAAGGTGATTTTCAGATCTACCAAGCAGTCACTTCTTATTTGATAAAACTTCAAACTTTTATTATGCCCACTTAGTATTGAATTGTTAATGCATAATTCTCAGCTTCTGTATTAAGGAACGCTTTGATATTTTCAGGAACTTTATAATGTTATACCAAGTAAGCTATTTTCAGATCTGCCAGGCAGGCACTTCCTGTTTGATTTTACCCTTAATTCTTATTGTACGTAATGAGTATGGATTTTTTCGTCAATGTCTAAAAACTAGTGGGATTACTTTGCATAAAAATGTGTGCAACTCCTTGTTATTTATGACAATTTATTATGTTAAGGTAAAAGGCATAAATATTTTATTTAGATAAAAGATCTAACTTTAATAGTTTTTGAATTATTTTTTTTTCTAACTTTCGTTTGAAGTGGCCATATATTATAAAAAAATTATTATTATGAAACAATTTGTTGTGGTGCTAATATCATGAAACTTTTGTACTGAAATGTCAAATTAAAAACTTTAGACTACTCATCTTGTTATTTTGTAATGATTGAAAATATTTGAATAATTGATAAGTCTTACAACTATTGTAGATTTCGAACATCAAAGCAGATTTACCAGAGGAAAAATCATGTGGCCACACTTCCCCTAGTAATGATTAAAAAATAAACCCATGTTAAATATACCAATGCAGCTGTTTATTCAGTGGTCATCTGTCCATCCATTGTCAACATTTACATTGTCATGTTCTTGATATGAATTTAGAAAATGTGGTATAATTGCCAATGAGACAACTATCCACCAGAGACCAAATGAGGGTCCACAATTGAACCAATTTGAACTTAGCAGGAGATATGTGTGGTTGTTTCTCTAAAAAAAAATCCTTATTGTCGAGCCTGCGACTTTTGTCACAGAAAGCTCGACATAGGGATAGTGATACGGCTGCGGCGGCGTTGGCTAACTTCTTAAAAGCTTTATATTTTAGAAGGTGGAAGACCTGGATGCTTCATACTTTGTATATGGATGCCTCATGTTACGAAGTTTCCGTCAGTCACATGTATAATGTCCTTGACCTCATTTTCGTGGTTCAGTGACTACTTGAAAAAAAAGTTAAGATTTTTTGTAATGTTAAATTCTCTCTTATTATAAGTAATAGGATAACTATATTTGGTATGTGTGTACCTTGCAAGGTCCTCATGCCAGTCAGACAGTTTTCACTTGACCTCAACCTCATTTCATGGATCAGTGAACAAGGTTAAGTTTTGGTGGTCAAGTCCATATCTCAGATACTATAAGCAATAGGTCTAGTATATTCGGTGTATGGAAGGACTGTAAGGTGTACATGTCCAACTGGCAGGTGTCATCTGACCTTGACCTCATTTTCATGGTTCAGTGGTTATAGTTAAGTTTTTGTGTTTTGGTCTGTTTTTCTTATACTGTATGCAATAGGTCTACTATATTTGGTGTATGGAATGATTGTAAGGTGTACATGTCTAGCTGGCAGGTGTCATCTGACCTTGACCTCATTTTCATGGTTCAGTGGTTATAGTTTAGTTTTTGTGTTTTGGTCCGTTTTTCTTATACTTTATGCAATAGGTCTTCTATGTTTGGTGTATGGAATGATTGTAAGGTGTAAATGTCCATTTGGCAGGTGTCATCTGACTTTGACCTCATTTTCATGGTTCAGTGGTCAAAGTTAAGTTTTTGAGTTTTGGTCTTTTTTCTTATACTATATGCAATAAGTCAACTATATTTGGTGTATGGAAATATTCTATGATGTACATGTCAGTCTCGCAGGTTTTATTTGACCTTGACCTCATTTTCACGGTTCATTGCTCAGTGTTAAGTTTATGTGTTTCAGTCTGTTTTTCTTAAACTATAAGCAATAGGTCAGCTATATTTGTTGTATGGAAGGATTGTAAGCTGTTCATGTCTGCCTGGCATGGTTCATCTGACCTTGACCTCATTTTCACGATTCATTGGTCAATGTTTAGTTTTCTTGGTTAAGTCTGTTTCTTAGAAGCTATAAGCAATAGGTCAACTATATTTAGTGTATTGAATGATTGTAAGGTGTACATGTATTTCTCGTTTGGTTTATATGACCTTGACTTCATTTTCTTGGATCATGTTAAGTTTATGTAATAGTTGAAGTAAAGTTTTCATTTAGGACTATCAACATAATATCAATGGTAAGTAAAGAAGGCGAGACATTTCAGCGTGTGCACTCTTGTTTTGTTAAAAACAAAGAAAAAAGGGATGCATGAGAAAGTCTTGGGTTTGTTTCATTTGTGTCATATAACTCTTATTACCTCTATAAGGTGTAACAATCAGTTTCATCATGTTATAATTCTTATATATGATTAGCATATCTACAATTAATTCAATTTGATTGGTCTGTTTAAAATGTTTTTCTTTGTTTAAAATTGTGTAGGCCATGTTGCAAATAATACTTTAATAACCTATGTTAATACTATGTCTATTTGACCAGATATATTCATGCACAACAAAAATGGAATCCTGGGGTTCCAAGAAAGTTGAAATTAAAAGATAAAAATAACTAAGGGAACAACCATTTAACTTCAAAAGGGGGGGTTATGATTTTTTCCTAAAAAAAATATTCTGATCCCCAATTTGATGAAAAAAATATTGTGGTCAAGCAGATGACAAAAAAAAATATACTGAATCCAGATTTTCCCCATACCTTATAGTGTTACATTTTGAAAAAAAATAATTTGATTGATAGCATCGAAAAACAAAAAAAAAAGTTCACACTTTGCATGAACAAAAATTTCTGACTCAGACAAAAAACCATAACCCCCTCCTTGAAGTTGAATGGTTGCTCCCTGATGTTTGGGTTGAGAATTGCAAGGATAAAATATATTTTCTAGAAGTTATTGATCTGTAAACTGAGCCACTGACTCAAACTTTACATTAAAAGTCTGAAGTATTCAGCTTGTGAGTTAAAGGCTTACTTTGCTCATCAATAATCTCCAGAAAAAAATGTCTTTAATCCTTTAATAATCTACTGAACTAAATGGAACCAAAATACTGTAAATTCAGAAATTATTGCGAGGTTTTTATTAATGCGAATAGTGCGACTGGGTTAGTATCGCAGTAATTAAAACTCGCATTCTGATATATGCATCTGTATGCAGAATTTCCTGAAATCGCAATAATTAATCTCGCATTATTGTCCATTCTTCATAAATTGCAATAATAAATGCATGCAATAATTTAGAAATTTACAGTGGTAAAATATGGTGTAAAAATTTTAATTTTGTTGATAGGATGAAATAACAGGTGATTTGGGATGAACAACAATGTGAGAGTAACCAAGCAACACAATAAAACAAAAAAAGCCTTTCCACTTTTCAAATATAGACAATCATTCATATACATAGCTCTAAATTTGTATGAAGCTTTATGACCAAAACTTAGAAAGAATTGTGTTTGAAAGGTCAATCATGAAGTATTCTAATGACCAGCATGGATGTCATAAGCAATTTTTGATTCTAAATGGTAATTTTAAAATTAAAGATTTTAAGGCTGATACTAAGTTGAGTTTGCAAGTTTGCTATTTGATCATGAATTGATGTTGCCTATGTTTACTACATTTTGAAAGAGTACCAATTGTCATTGTAAAGCAATCAAATCATGGAACAAAGATTGCCTGAAATCCTAGCAATATTTCATTCAGACAAAAAAATTAGATATTGTAGAAATTAAACGATAAGGTAAGGGTTGGGGACTAATTGGCCCTAAAAGCAATACATTTCAGAATCATATTTGTAGAAATATATGTTGAATTTAATATTTTGATAAAACACTATTTGTTAAAAGCAGTTAAATATTTGGTCTTTACAGCCATCAAATAACAGGAAATTCAGTAAAAAAGCCAAAATTACACCTAAGGGAGCTACCATTTGATTTTTATTGGGGGGGGGGGGGGGGGGGGGCTAGGATGAAATAGGCAGGACACGAGTTTTGAGTAAAAAAAAGGCAGGATGAGACACTTTGGAAAAAAAAAAGGCAGGATGACAATTTAGGTAAAAAAAAGTCAGGATAAACTAATAAAAAAAATGCAGGACCGAAAAGAGGGAAAAATAAAAAGGTAGGACAGAGATTACAACTAAAAAAAAATGCAGGACAAAATTTTTCATCCTAGCCCCCCATAAAAATCAAATGGTAGCTCCCTAATGGTGTGTTTGAAGTACACATGCAGCTAAATAATATAGAGTACGCAGTAAGTTTATAACGGAATTTTCAACTCCCTGACAAAAACCACTTTGTGTGACACTTGTGATCCATATCAATTAAGCGATGATATTCTTAAATTTTTAGCTCACCTGGCTCATCACTTCTGTCGTCTGCTGTAGGTGTCATCGTCCATCGTCGTCTGTTAACTTTTATAAAAATCTTCTCTGATGAAACTACTGGGCCAAATTTAACCAAACTTGGCCTCAATCATCATTGGGGTATCTAGTTTGAAAATGTGTCCTATGTCGTGCCTGCCAACCAAGATGGCCAACGTGGCTAAAAATAGAACATAGGGGTAAAATGCAAGTTTTGTTTATTATTTTGAAAACTGTTATAAATAGAGAAAATTTTACAGGACAAACATGTTCAGAATGTGGAGCTCTACCAATTGTCCATATACGTCAAAACTGTCAGACGACTTCTTATTGGAGTTATTGCCCTTTATTGTCAAATTTTATCATTTTTTTCATTTTTATACGACCGCAAAAAAATTTTGTGGTCGTATATTGGTATGACCTTGGCGTTGCAACATTAAAGCTATACCATATTGCTATCCATACACAGTTTCCTCCTGTTAAACTTCAGTGTTCTTTAGTTGAAAAAACTAATTTACTTTATACTACTGAAACTACACACAAACATTAATTAGATAAAACAAATTAGTAAGTTCTGTATTGTATTTTGTACATTTTGTTACTTTTCTTACATTTTTATTAAAATTCATGAAGTTGACATCCCTGTATTTCACTTGAAAATTTGACTTCAAACTTCTTGTTATACATCATCATGTACAAATGTACATTTACTCTTTAATGTGTGATATGCTTTACTTTTTATACGACCCGAAACAAATTTTTGTGGTCGTATATTGGTATGACGTTGGTGTCGTCGTCGTCTGAAGACACATTAGTTTTCGCACTCTAACTTTAGTTTAAGTGAATGGATCTCAATGAAATATTACCATAAGGTTCAATACCACAAAAGGAAGGTGGGGATTGATTTTGGGGGTTATGGTACCAACAGTTAAGGAATTAGGGGCCAAAAAGGGGCCAAAAATAAGCATTTTTGTAACTTCCAGACATAACTTGTGTGTAAGTGTATGGATCTCTCTGACATTGAATCACAAGGTTCCATATCACAAAGGGAATGCTGGGATTGATTTTGGGGGTAATTGCCTCCAAATTTTAGGAATTAGGGGCAAAAAAGGGCAAAAAACAAGCATTTTTCTAGTTTCATGACAATAACTTGTGTGTAAGTGTATGGATCTCTC